TTCGTCCATCCGAACGCTTCCATCACAGACGAAGGTTCATTTCGACGGCCTGTGTCGAATGATCAATCTACGGGGCGGTCTTGACCAACTTAAAGAAAATCCGTTTCTCACAGAAAAGGCCCACCGGTATGTATCAACCTCCCTCCTCATAGTTCGTTCCCAGGCTGCCACTAACGCCTACCCAAAAGACTCGACATAGAACTAGCCCTCCAACTAGGCTGCCAGACTCAGCTAAGCGCGACAACAAAAAGGCTTGACAGTCTTCTTCCGAATTATTGCGACCCTGCCTTCGAGTCCCCGTCGCCTTTGGCCAACGCCGTCGCACACGGGGATCTGAGAGTTTTCATGATTACTCAAGACATAACCAAGGTGACGCGCATCTTGAATTCAACCGTTCCGGCCAGCAGACTGTATCCAACCGCTTTTCAAGACATTGTCACACACCTCACTTATCGCTTGCTCGACATTGATTCCGTTGATGGGTGTCAACTTTTCGGTGCTGTCACAACAGCAGTCCACCGTGGCCTTCTCGCTTTCATGCTCACTTTTGTAACCCAACTCAGCCGTCAACGACAGATACCTTACCCTGTTCTCAAAAGCAGTCTTATGGAAGCTTTGGATCATCCTGACTTCATAAATAACGTCGACCCGGCAACTCACGCTTGGCTACTCATTGTTGCCGGTATGCATGTGCTTGACAAGTCTATCTCCGTTACCTGGCTTAGGCCACGACTTTTGGAAGTCATGTCGGTATTCGGCACAACAGACTGGAAATTTGGCCGTGCGTTGCTCAACTACTACCCTTGGGTTGACTTTCTCCACGATGAATCAGCTTCTCAGATTTGGCGCGATTGTTTTGGGGCCACGTCTTTACACAACAGCACGTGCTATTAATTCGAATATACATCCCAACATCCAGGGATCACAAAGGACAAACTAAGATAATCGAAACCATCTGCATCAACAGAGCTTTGGCGCCTATCTCCCGCCCACTCCTCAGTTCTCATAGAGAGCCTTCTTAACACAGCCGGGCTGCGCACGTTCCAGCTCCACCACAAGCTGATCCCAAATCTTCTCGCCTAATTCACGACCACTAGCATCAGTTATAAACGATGGCAGTTCTTTCCTGTTTGGATGTTAGCATACGAGCATTGTTCTCGGGAAATTCCTTTTCAGCTAGGTGCCTTACTCGACAATCTCACAATACGAGATATACTTCCCATGACTCTCCTCCCCAAGAGAGACGGCATACAACAAATTGCGGGACCCCCATTCTGCGCTTCTACCCATCACCCCTCTGAGGACAGCAACCATTACCTTTACGCCGTCATCATAGTATCGGGTAAGGCCTGTATTGCAGAGCCCCGGGCTGAGATAGTTGATAATCACGCCTGTCTTTGAAACAGGGGCAAGCGTGGCGAATTGGCGGATAGCATAAATCTGCAACAGCTTTGAGAATGCATAACTATGAAGTTGATATTAGAAACCCAGAGATGACGTTCATACCGAGAATCATCGACCAAACTCGAAAGGAATATTTCAAAACTTACCGATTCGTCCCATCAATCGTCCATTTTCGGCTGTCACTAATATCGCTGAAGATGTTTTTCTGATCCATTTTCCGCAGGTCTTCTTGCCTAACGAAGCCGAGATCACTCGTAACAATATTCATGACCGGTTTTGTGCCCGACCTTTGAGCAAAGCTTTTGAGGTATGGCAGCATCAAGACCGAGAGCAACATGGTCCCCACCACATTGACTGCCACCGTGCTCTCGATACCCTCGTTGAGAGTCCATTCAGCACTTGCAGCTGCCGCGTTTGAGATCAGGCCATCTACCCGGTCGAGCTGTGCCTCAACACGATTGACAAATGCCTTGATTGAACCGAAAGAAGACAGGTCGAGCATCCAGACCTCAGCGACACCAGGCCGACCCGTCTCAGATTCGAGCTCGGCGAGAGCGGTTTTGCCTCTTGACTCGGACCTCACTGCGAGGATGACGCGCTTCGACTGGAGGCGCACCAGGTGCTTGGCGCATTCCAAGCCGATGCCTATGTTCGCCCCTGTGACAATGTAGGTCTTGCCGGAGCATTGTTCTTGGGTGAGAGTTATGGGGAGGCTGGTGTATTGGTGACGAAAGGTATTGAGTAAGCCCATGATGATCGAATCTCTGATTTGTTTTCGTTAGGTTAAATCTAGAGAAAAAGAATTATTGCGGTTGTGTAGGAGGGAGGTATATTGAGAAGAAGATAAGTCTGTCTGAGCTTGGTCAGAAGAAGAGAAGAATGCCACATTTCGACAGCACAGGTCTTTATATAGTTATAGAACACAGGGCCAGGATGGTTTGATTTTCGCTCTCATTTCATAATTCCGGTTTGCTCGGAGTCACTTGGATTCGCTCATCACCGCATGCTTCATTAACTACCTAACGTCTCGCCAATTCGGGCAAAGCTAAGAGAAAGGGCCAATCAGGAATTGGTTTCCCTTTTCGGCAACCAATTCCTGATTGGCGGTTTGCCCTGGATGGACCCTCAACACTCTACTTGCACGCAACATATCCACCCAAAGTGCCGTGGCAATGATAACGTAGTTGCATCTCTCCAGCACGACCAAAACAAGAGGTGGTTATCTCAGGTATCTCAGCTGCGCCTCACCGAATCTGATGGTATCCATATCTCTCAAAACAACTTTTAAAATGAATCCCACGTATATACTTAGTGAGCTGCCGCACGTAATCAACCCCCATGGCCCCCTAGCATCGGCATCCTTGATCTCAAGCCATTATCCGCCTAGAGCGTTGTATTTAGATGTACTAAATTTGACTTAGGGTCCGCTCTACACCAACCACAGATCTTTTTTATTAGCCACCTAACACTTGTGGCTTGACATCCAATCCTGCAATAAAGTTATACACATCTGCTAAGGTCAGTCTCACAGACAACTAGAAATTGTACACATACAGAGGCTGTCGTAGGTCAAGCAAAAAGCTATCCTCACCACCTAATTAATAGAGCCTGACAGACTGAATCTTGCAGGCCCATGCCCTATAGGCACAGTCTGAGTCTTGCACCTCACATCAAGCCACGAGTAGTAGGTAGTCGAAACTTTTGTTGTGAGACTAGAGCAGGGCCGTTGGAATTTTACAATCTTACTTTAATAGCACCTACAGAAACACCTCTATGCTTTGCAAGTTGAACTACATGATGAAGGTATCGGAAGCTACACCAAGTAATGTGTAAAGTTAACTAAACGAAGTGCTACCTCAGGCATGAAGCCATTGCCGAGGGTTTCCGTTAGCCCTCAACCGATGCTACAGATTGGGTACGTTTAGCTGTGGGCATGCAGCAAGCCAGGAACAGCATAGCGACACCAACCTTGCCAGGTTGGTTTTCCCAGCCCCTGCGCGGTGACATAGTTGGTATATGCAGGCGTTGCCGCTTCCATCTTAATGATCTGCAAGTACAAATTCAGCTGTCAACATGCCTAGGATAGCCAACGATATTTCCCAACTTGGATCTTAGTGTCTTAGAATCCCGCTCCCTGATCTCCAGTATCCCGCTTTTATGACTGACAACCAAGGATTGGCGGTAGATCTTGCCCTAAAACGCTCTTTCAGCTGAAATCGGAGGTCAAAGCTCCATGATGAGGACGCGAGGGAGAATTGATGTGAGCCTGTCGTTGAGAAGATGCCGTGCTGTTGGTTGACATGATCTTGCATTGGACTAAGCGAGATTAGCATGTCTCCAGTTGACTGTCTAGACTGCTTGGAGGCCGCTTGGCACACGATATCTGACTGTCCAAACTGGTAAAAGATTGAAACAAACTTATTGTAGCGTCTTCGCTGCTTTCTTATTTAGTCACGATGCATAATAAGTCGTAGACTGTGTGATTGTTCTATTCGTATGATGATGAAATATGGTCTAAATGTACTCCTCAAGTGTGGAGCTAAACCTCCTCAATATCAAGCGCGGGTAAGCCTTGGTCGGGATCATCAAGGATGTCCACAATGCTCTTGAGATCGCTATGGCCCCCGATCCGCAACAAGGACCCATCAATAGCGTTGAAGAAGAAGAACTGGCCGCTACCAACCTCGAAGAGGTACAGTGCCTCTCCCGTGTAGGGGGCCATACCGTAGTGCGGCCTGATATCCCCCTCAATGCCACGTCCACGGACTTCGTCTTCCAGTTGTTCACCATCCCCCCAAAACATGTCCCCTCCCATATCCTCATACGAATTGGTCCAATTCACTGGGGGCGGGATCTAAATTGAAGCTGTCAGTCACACTGAGCGGCAAGAATTGGGAAGGGCATAGAATGTACCCCATTGTTGGTCACTAATTCGCCATTGGAGACCGTAGTGAATTTACTCATGTTGAGTGAATGGTGTGTGAATAGCCTGGGTGAAGGTGATAGAGTAAGACGTGGTGTTTGAGTTGTTCAGGTCAGTGATTGTGATGGGGGAGGAGATCAAGGTATATTTATATACACGCCTGGGCTGGCGACGTCACCTGAATCATGGATTCATGGCTTAGCCTAATAGGGAATAACTTTTCAGTACCCATCGTCAGTCAGTATGAGTGCATATTGGTGGGACAACAACAAGCGTTAGTACTTCTTTTACTAAGGCAACCCGATTTGGTTGTACCTGTATAACTATATTGCATTCTGCAATCTCGAAACTAGGTATTTGTCATCAATAAATTCAACTTTGTAGCCCTTTGGATAAGAATATTGCAAAAAAAATGGGAGATAGAGAACTGTCTCAAGCCTCTCGATAAGAAAGGCAGCCCTGACCAAGCATAAAGTCTTCCAATATATGTATCGCAAACCAACAGGGGAACCATTCTTAAGAATTTCCAAATCAATGTTAAACTTGACGTGACGCCAACTAGATCGCGTGGACGTGAATTGCCAGCTGCGTTTGCTCCGGTCCGACAACGGTATTTCGATCGATTGATAGACAGCGGGCCTTATTTGTGAGCAGTCAAAAGCACACTTCTTCCCTACTTCTTCTGATGCAGATCCACCAGCTCCATTGTTTGCACTTCTTGCATGGCTTCGCCGAACATTAGTCCTTGCACAATGGCCTCACCAACCACACAGTAGCGATTCTGACCGCACTTTCGAAGCACAGCCGGGAAGCGACAACCTGATATAACCGCAATTTTGTCCCCAGGAAGGGCATTCCTATTGAACCATCCCAGACGTCCTTGGTGTGTACTTCCTAGGCGCATCTGCCAGCGCAGATTGGTGTGAAAACGTGTTAATGCGTCGAGCTTCACATTAGGTTTCGCTTCTTCCCCAGTAAGCCAGGATGTGAGAGGGTAGCCTTTGATGACGAAAGATTCTACGCAACAACAATAAAGCCACTGGATCAACTCCCTAGCAAGTCTTGAATGAGTCTCAATTTTTCGGCTTTTCCGGAGGCTGTATAGCAATTTTTCCAAATCTGCCTCGCGTACTTGATAAGAGGCCGAAAAGTCGTCTTGTAAGTCGACACCGTACAGGAGCCAAGCGAGAATCCGCGCTTGTTTTTTCATCTTCCTCCATGATATATCGATCCGGCGATTCTGCCCTTTTATGTACTTCCAAGACTCCATCTTCACTCCTCCCTGCAGAGCTTCGGGTAGGGTGGGGGAACACTGCATGATATCATCCACGACGAAGCCTTCAACGAAGAGCGAGTGGTTCCGAAATTGAAAGTGTGCGGGCCTCTTGTTGCAAGCATCGTAATAGTCTTCATATTCGCTAGAGTCTTCACTCTTTATTGGAGGATTGATACAACATTGCATTCGCCGATGAGAGAACGATTCCGGGCTGAACCAATCGTGCCACCATGGTCCCACTTCACCGTGCTTGAAAATCACAATATCTAGCCGCCCTGTTCTTTGGATCATCCGTGACGTTATGTCTCTATTCACGGCAGAATCTGGCAGTGAATAGTTGGGAAACGGAACAAGGATATTGCCATTCGATGTCACGCCGAGAATAGCGTATATTCTGTCGCGAGGCTCTGACGCTTTTGTGTTGCGTGTCAATGGCAGAACCTGGAAAATGGAATGTGGTTGCATCGTTAACTGGGCAGTCCGAATCCTCTCGAGGTCCTGGATATGAGCCAGCTGTCCATAATTTTGTATTTGAATACCTTTGGACTCGGATGCCAGACGCCCAACGTGAATCAAGTTGTTCAGCCTGAAACGATGGTGACCCCAGATTATTTCCAGTTGAGTATTGGCAGAGATTTCCTGTATTATCCAGGAGCGACACCAATAAGGGTTATTTAGTAGTTTGTACAAAACGTAGTGCTCACGATCGTCGATCTGAACAGGCAGACGTACCGGGCGTCGCAGTTCGCTCGGCTGATGGCGTTCGCGCGGCTGATGGCATTTGAACAGTAGTGACCATGTTCCCTCCTTGGACCATTCCCCTTCATCTTTGAACCGTCCTAGGTCCTTTTCCATCTTTCTTTTTCTTTTATATTCCTCCATTGCCTTTCTCGCCGCTTTCTCCTCATTATACATCCGTATGATGAGCGCTGCCGCCAGTTTCGCCTCAGCAAACCTCGCGCCGTGCAAAAACGCCACCACTTTCCAAGCCGAGCGGTATATCCCTGCCATTCTTAGAATCTGCTGGCTTTTTTCTTCCGGATTGTGTTGGTTGATGCAGACTGCATCAGCCCAGATGCGGAGATACCCGCGGCCACGCAGATCTTGCAGCGCGCTGATGAGATTTTTCGTGACCATCATAGGCCTTTTGGAAACAATGATCTTCCCCTTGGTCTCAGGGTCACCCCAACAATAAGACAGGGCAATGTAGCTTCCTGCTTTTCCTAGAGATGTCGTTACTAGCTGACATTTGATTTCTGAGACCATATCCGTGGATGGTTGGATCTGAAGCAGTCTGATTTCGTCGTCAACGACGCTTAAAGTCCTTTCGTATTGATATGCGTTGATTTCGTCGACAACGACGCGTAACTTTCTTTGGTATTGATGCGCCATGTCGAACGGCAGATCATAAAAGGCCTACCCAAGATGGTTTGAACTTGGTGAAGAGGGGGGGGCTTTTGAAATGTTGTTTTAATCATGGATGACTTGGGGTTGTGTCGCTTGCAAAATATGCCTCTCCGCCGGAACCTAAAAATCATTTGCTATTGTCATGCTCACCTACCTACATCCGCTCAGTTGCATGCAGCAAGCAAGACAAAGCGGGGTATTATGCAGTTCGTGATGATTGCTGTGTTGCCTCCAACGATATATCTAATTTTGCGGTATCATCTTATGTTGCTGAGTGACAATAGAAAGGGGTCAACCACAAAGACAGGCTAATAGTAGTCATGGTTTTTATTCAGCTTGAGTCGTAGCGTTTTCCCTAGTAAATTACGAAAACATGGCGCGTACTTCGTTGGAATCTTCTAGCTACCAGCTTGCAGGAGACAAGAAGATGATAAAAGCATTCTCCACCCTTACGGGATCGCAGTTGTTACGTTCTGTATCTTTGGCAAATTTCCCCCAGTGAGCGTGCAAGGTGTGTAGCATCCAAGCAGCTTATGGCCGATCTGCCTCGCAAACCGCCAAGCTATATGGGCTGATCTGATGTGCAAAGCTACGCCAGCTGACACCGAACAAGCCTCTCGCTCCCGTCTCAATTGAGCAAAGGCTCGTCGTGGAGGAGGAATCAGCGAATAAAAAGCTATTGAAGTAATGTGAGATCCAATGGTGTGAGGCGATATCTCCACCGACACCCCCCAAAGAGTCGCTGCGACGCGCATATTTATTTACCAAACAGTGCAAAGACGGTCCCGTAGAGTAGGATTGCAAGGTCACTTCGATTTGGTACACCCGAATAAACTGTGAACACGTAGCAAGCACTCGGCATAATCACCAGTGCTTCGGGGCTTGAGAGGAGCCTAATTGGTGGTGCCAATCGGCCCCGAGGGAGCCCAACACGGAGTTTATGGCAAGTGTTCAGTCGCGCAGAACCAGACAGTAAATTCAATGAATGTAGCCGCCGATTGGTGGGTTGTAGCCATGCCCGAGCTGTGCAGCTTCTAGTGAGTGGAGAAGACTTCGGCCGGTTCTATGATCCGGAGATCGGTTGCAAAAGAGCCTCAACGATCCCCGAAACCGACTGGACCCATCAAGTGCCCGGAAATGCGATTTCTAGATGTTTATTCTCGTTTCTATAAGTAGAGAGGCTCTTCCACATGGTATGAAAACTTTAACACTCGAATACTATAACCAACCAGCCACAACAAAACTTCGAGATCCAAGGGCAAACCACCACATTATCACGATCAAACTGCGCTCCATCCAGAAACAACACTCCAAGTTCAATAATACCTCGCTATGGACTCTCCGCCAAGAATTGCAATTATTGGTGGTGGCCCTGCTGGGCTGACCCTCGGTGTCCTGCTTCATCAACACAACATTCCATTTACCATCTTTGAGCTGCGCCCAGAGCCCACCAATGAAGAGCTTGAACAGTTATCGGGCATGCTTGATCTTCATCAAGAATCGGGCCTGGCAGCTCTGAAAGAATGCGGCCTATACGAGGATTTCCTGCCCCTCACTGGCGAATGCAGCCAGGACTTCATTGTTGCAGACAGGAGCGGGAGTGTTCTCTACACTCACGGCGGCGGGGATGGATTACGTCCTGAAATCTCTCGTAATAACCTCTCTAAGCTCTTGTCCCGAAACATCCCCTCCGCCAACATCAAATGGGGCCACAAGCTCGTCTCTGCGACAAGACGAACGACACCGACTCATGTTGAAACGGAGCTCGACTTCGGCGTCCATGGGAAACAAGCCTTCGATCTTGTGATTGGTGCTGATGGAGCTTGGTCAAAGGTCCGGGGCCTTCTCACGAATGTACGGCCGCAATTTACCAACATGTACATCATCACGCTCACAATAAAAAATATAACATCGAAATATCCACACCTAGCCAAGCTTGTCGGCACAGGATCTTTCTCGTCGCTTGGAAAGAAACATGGCGTCATGTCTCAGCGAGGGCCGATCGACTCATCTAGGCTATATCTCTGGCTCACAATTCCCGATGAAAACTTTGGCACTTCATCCGGGGTCGCTGGAAAGCCAGCTACAGTTGCAAAGGAGAAGCTCTTTAGCGATGACGCGCTTCTAGGGACCTTTACGAGCTTGTCGAAAGAGCTGGTAGAAACTGCCTGTGACGAAGAGGCCAAGAGCGGGGAGAATCTCGATATCCGCGCGCTGTACGCCTTGCCTCACGGTACCTCTTGGGAACACGCATCTGGAGTGACCCTCTTGGGGGATGCTGCCCATGTCATGCTTCCGAACGGCGAAGGCGTCAATGCTGCCATGTTTGACGCTCTCATGCTCTTCAAAGCCATTCAAAAGTCGTATGAAACGTCCGGGAAGGATGTCAACTTGTTCCATCAGACCTTTGATCCCCTGCTTCAAGATTATGAAACAGGTTTGGTAGAACGGGCAAAGAAGTTGGGTAAAGAAACAGACGAGTTGCTCGGCCAAATGTTTGGGGGCGAAGATGCAGCACAGGAATTTGCTCAGTTCTTCAGAAACATAGCAGAGCAGGGACCCGCGGAATAGATGGTTGCTATAATATTTTCAGCAAGCTCCGGCCGGTTATAGATACCTACCATAGGTAGGTAAGGTAGCCATAGATAGAATTTCCCACTCAATCAATATGTTGGCGAATCGAGTCGCTTTTAAATCTCAAATCAAGTGACGTTTGATTATAGTAGCTCGTAACGAACGGGAATACTAACTCTTTTAATTGACCTTATTCAAGTCTCATCCTTCGTAATAATACCTACCTAGGTACAGTAAGACTATCAGATTCAAGGTAAGAACAGCTGCGAAGGTCTTTTTGTACTTATAGGGTAGCAAGGCGTGGTCAATTGTGTTCCAGCTGGCAGCCCCACTCATCAGGCCAACTGCTAGCGCGCGTAACCCAATGAACATTGACGGGACGCTCCTTCCCTCCATCAACAATTCACTTTCCCAAACACCAATTCGCCCATCGACAAAACTTGGAATCTTGCCATGACAGGAGTCCGCCGATCGCAAAGATGCCAGAACTGCCGCGCAAGGAAAATCAAGGTACGTAAATCAGGAGTTATTGATGCATCGCTACCTAGGCAACGACCAACTGACGATGATTCAACAGTGTGACCAAAATTGGCCGAGATGTGGCCATTGCAACCGCACGAATCGAATATGTTCTGGACCCTCGCCATTGACCAAGTTCGTCGACCAAAGCAGCGATCATCGCTTGCAGTCCGACATCAACTGCAAATCCCAAACTGCTCCCATCCCCCCAAGCTCTGAGACAGAGGCCGCCATCCTTGTCAATCATCATCCGCTGAGGCCATTCAATGACGGGTTTGCCTCATACGGCGTCTTTCGTCTAGAGGTGCCCTGTCCCGAGGTACCTCGCGCCAGACTCACCACTTCCGCTGACCGGGTGTCTGCCAGGCTTGTAGGTCTCCTAGAACGAGGTTCTGAAGCCGGCGTGCGTGTACAAATGAGCTATCTCCCTTTCCTGCCGCAGAGGCTATCGCGCAGCGCTTGCTTGCGCGATTGCACAAGCCTTTTCTGTTATGCTTGGAATGGATATCGGCGTCGAGAGCCAGTCTCGAAGCTTCTTCTGACGAGCCATTACAACAAGGCAATCCGAAGCTTGCAGCTTGCAATCAATGGGGGCAAGGCATACGATGTCGAGACTCTTTCTGCAATTGCTCTTTTAGAACGTGCCAGTTCCTTATTTGGCCAACCACAAAGCGCCTTGGCTCATAGACGTGCAATATGTTACGTCATTCAAGCAAGAGGAGGTCCAACGATTGGGGATGACCTCGATGTTGCTATCACCTACGAAAACCAATGGCTAAAGGTGAGAAACAATCTATCTCTCTCATTCGACTTTCATGTTATTGACAAAATATCGCAGGCGCTGCCAGCAGTGGCCGATCCGCCCGACAACGATGTCCCCTTAGATCCAGGCTGGCTTGAGGTTATTGAGAAGTTTCAGTGCGAGCCTCCAGTTGCTGAAGAGTTTTCTTGCTTTTCTGGTGAATTCTCTTCCATCAAAGAAGCTGCGGGCAAGATGATTCCTTGGATTGGGGATATCGGGCAGATCTTGGGCAGCCCTGCCACGATGAAGGGCCTCAACGAGACCTTGGTCCAGGATCTTTTCCATCACGGGAAAGTCCTGGAAGCCGTCACCATCAGAGTTCTAAACAGGGGTCTGGTCCATGGTTCAATAATTGAGATGCCTGACTTGACCTTTTTTGCAGGTCGCAGGTATGAATTTGCGTCCGTTGCTTTGGCTCACTACTTCGCAGGATTACTCGCCGTGCGAAGAGGCATTTTAAGGATATCCAGTGACCTAGTTGCGCTATACGGGCCTCCAGACGACAGTATTCTTGAAAATTTTCGAGAGCTGTCCATCCAACAATGGATGGTCTTCCCGTACCTCTTACAGATGAACACGGTGTCGCACCACTTTCTTACACCGTGTATGAAACCGCCTCTCGAGATGGCCAGCGGCTACGAAAACGAATTCCTGGTAGACTTGCTATCATCCGCAAACAGACATCCTACCAAGGTTGAGCATTGAGGGCAGAATTGAAGGCACAACAACCGCAAGCTCTGATGCGGGAACATCAGATATTCGAAGCTATATCTATGCTTTCCCCAATTAAGAAAGTTTCTTCAAATAACCCAGACCTGAGGGGTTTATCGCTTGCCATCAAACTTGTCTAGATCTTCTTCTCTTCTCAAAACACAGAAACTTCTTACTGTCACGTGGGTGCAACGAAAACCTCCGGTTGGTCAAGTCTACACCAGGCACCAGAACAAGCGAGGGAACAATTATGTTTCAGATGGGGAGTTTGCGGCCAGTTGTGGCTTACATGGTAACTCTATCGTGAAGGTGTGAACTTAGTTCCCTTCCTGGCCCGTCTCCGGGCCATCCGGCAACTACTCGGAATTCCCGCCCTGTCTCACCCCTTGATTACGAATGCTACGGCGGAGAAGACTGATTGCGTCCTCATCACGTTCGGCGACATGTCTTCGTCAATGGCTGATAGAAGTCCCTCAGTATTGCAACCCAGGATGGGCCGTTATGACGAAGGTATGTTGGCACATTCCACATGTTGCTCGTATACGGCCCAGCCGTCGTCAGAGTGACCGAAAATTCATCGGCATGGACGGACCTTTTTCCCAATAATGAGGCCTTTTCTGGAGCTCGTATTCATCTTCATTAGCTACTATCGGATCCGTTAAACGACAATGGCGTAATGATTTATATGCACTGCAACGAACAACCTTCTCCGCATCCAAAAATAAGTCAGTAAGAGGAGTGAGCACGAATGATATCATAATTTCACAACAATCAGATGTTCGAATGATTTTTAGCAGGGCCTTCGCAAACCGGCAACACTCTTCATGTGACATTACGAAAATGCAACACAATGGTTCGTGAAGGAAATATCAGGAGTAATTTAGTGGCCTATGTGGCATAACCAGAGTTGCAATCGTCGTCCTCTCGGAGCATTCTTGAAGCTCTCAAAGGCCTGTCCAGCATGGAAAAGATATCATCCACTCCATTATTTTGCCACACTTAGAAGAATTGCTCCGGTCGAGGTATGATGGCGGATGGTCCGGGCGAAGTTTGCATTGATCCTCCTCACCCAACAATCCAACCATGACATTGGTGTTACAGAATTGTCACCCTATATGAGCTTTGTGGGGATTCGCTAATGGTTGAGTTTGAAGTTGCTTGAGCTAGAGTCGATCATTCCCCAGACCGAGCCAGAGGGACCGCGTCCGCACTCCATTCTTAGTCCGGGGACATCGCCTGGAATTTCCCCGCTTCGATCCTATTTGTCAATGGCAAGAAACTTCTGAGAGTCTAACAAGTTTGATGGGTAACAACATGAGGTGTCAATGAGGGGTTACCAATGCAACACATCAACGCCATAACCGAACCTTATTGCCCAGTTGCTCGTACCTGAGGGCTGGACCAACTAGGCCGAGCAACATGACATTACATGTTGATTGGTGCATACACATTACCCGGTGTCAGTCCACAATTTGATGACTTGGCCTTGATGTCAACACAAGTCAACTCCTAACATTGTGTCCTACATGGGTGTTGGCACGCGGATAGAAGGTGTAAGTACTTCCAATACTAGGGGAGGGATGGTTACATAGCATCGACGCTGCCAATTAGTTGCACTTCTGGGTTCAAGGTTGCTGCAGAAGACACAACGTGTTGCAATCTACATAAACTCTAACGACAGACAGAGGGGTGAGCAGCGGCTTGCGAAGGCTTACCAGCCTCTCCAGATGCAGAATAGACTGGTCTCGAGTGGCATCTCCAGTGCCACAAGCGAGAATCCGTGGAGTTTGTCCTGTTTCCATGTGATCGTGAGAAACCATCTTCCAGTCCTAATACCTCAAACTAGGTTCAGAAAATCTATAATAAGAATTGGCCTGCGCTCCTCTTCGATTAAATTATTATACTCATTGCCATCAGCTTGATCGAGACACTTCAAACTTGTCTCATCTTCCAAACTTCTCTTATCACACCCAAGCTTTATCATCTGTGAAAAAGCAACAGCCATGATGCAATTCCTGGGATCTTCCGACCAGACCAAGCCTGATCACCCTCCCAAGGTGGTCAACATTGGCGCGGTCAACCCTTATGCCCTCACCGAGGTCATCCTTGGTCGGCCAATCGACAAGACCTCCCCAGTCGTAGCAAACATCATCAGTGAAGTCCTCCAGACCCAGTACTCGCAGCTCTTTGACATGAAGCATGACTCTGTGCTCTACCCCGGCCTGAAGCTCAACTCCAAGGGCAAGGAGGCTGAGCGTATCAGGAGCGAGGACATGAAAGTTCTCAACGAGGACGACTTCATCACTCCTGACTTGTCTCGCATCAGCAAGCTGTCTGACCTTGAGCATGTCGGACTCAAGAACCCGCTTGACCTCAAGGTCGAAAAGGCCTTCTTACAGGGCGGCCAGCTGAACCTCGTTCTGCACCAGAAGACCCTGGGCAAGAACCTGTCCAACCACGCCCTGACCAATTCCCTGATGGAGACCATCACTCCCTTCAGGAAGCACAGAGGCCAGTGGACAGCCCCCAACTGTGTCTGGGGAACCACCAACGAGCTAAGCCTCAGAATCCAGCGCAAGCGACTAGAGAACCTAGCCATCAACCTTGGCATGGGCATGGGCATGATGAACAGGGCAAGCACCGTGGGTCCCCTTGGATCTACCCAAATGGCCCAGCAAGAAATGGACCAGGAGATGGTCCAGATGGCCCAGTTCAACGACCCCGTGCAGGGCGCCATCGCCAACAGCTGGCTCATCGCAGCCCTCCACTCCGTCGCATGGTCTGATCCATACAGAATCTGCCGCGACGAGTCGTTCATCCTCGACTCTACCCATAAGGAGAAGGAGAAGGAGAAGAGGCGCGGCCTCCGCATCAAGCTCTACAGCAAGGGCGGCGAGAACGACGCCCACACGGCCGAGATCGACGTCGACTACGACATCCCCGTCAACAACGTGACCAACTGGCCCGTCTACTGCCGCTCCAGCAACAGCCTGGGCGCCGTCTGGCCCGCCATGTATGAGAAGGCCTTTGCCAAGTGGCTGACCAAGGGCTCCGGTGAGCACCCGGACATCACGCAGACGTCCGCCGCGGCGGCCGGCGGCGACCCCATCAAGGCCATGGCCCAGATCAACGACCGCACGCCGCACTACTTCTTCACCAGCTCGCGCTCCGGGCAGGACCTCGTAGGTCTCGTGCGCGCCAACTCGGTCAGTTTCAAGACCATCCACCCCATGTGCGCCTACACGCACGCCTCGGGCGACCATTACCGAGGCTCCAACCTCGTGGCCAACCACGCGTACTCGGTCCTGGGCTGGATCTCCTCGCCCGGGACCCAGCAGTACATCGTGCTGCGCAACCCGTGGGGCGTCACCGAGCCCATGGGCATGACTAGCTACTCGGGCATGCTCGACGTGGTGGACAGGAAGATCTGGCCCCCTGCCGACATGCTGGACCGCCAGGGCGTGTTTGCCCTCGAGGCTGACTCCTTCAAGCACTACTTTGCCTGCCTTGGAATTGCCAAGTAAGGTAGTGTCAGGGTGAGTCAAAGTCTGTCCCGAGGAATTTTGTTTCAAGGGGATGTGGGAAGGGAGGAGGGTTCAATGTTGGAAACCAAAAAGGTGCGGCCGAGTACGGCTTGTTGCTGATATGGTTGGATGATCGATGAAGGGAAATTGAAATATGGAACGCGGGCGGCAACCTGCGCGTTCTCAGTTCTGCTAGTTGATTCTGTCCCTGCTTGGGGAATTTCTTATGTCTCGCATCTTCTCTTCTTCTAGTAGCTGATCACGGATTGCTGCCACGGGATGAAATCGCCTCATTTCGGTAGCTTGATTCGGACAACATTGTGTGTGATATCTGATGGGATAAGTAGCTGCCTACCTAAGTACCACAGTCTCTACTATGACAATAATTCAAAAAGGATAATTCCAAAATTTGGATCAAAGCTTCATGTTTCTGAGCGGAATTGGAGACATGGCTGAGGCGAAGATGACATGTCTCAGCGTAGATACACACGAGGGAGAGGCGTTGATTGAGATTACCGCAATTACCCTATATGCATATATCACATCTCGCATTCTGCAAGCCCCATCAAGTAACGATGTAGACAATTCGATAGATCTCAAGCTATTCACACTAATTAATCATAGTCGAGTGGTAGAGAGACACACGCGGAATCTCAGTTGTGGATGGACTTGACTCACAGACTTGACTCACACTACTTCAATTATTGCTTCAGCTGTTAAGCAGACATAAAAATAAATGTATGTTGTGCATGCAGATGGGTCGTTAATGCGCAGATGGATATCTGTGCTGCAAGTAATGCTGTGAATGTCGGGGCATGACCACGACGGTTGATACCTGTAATTCATTTGGTTTATACGGAACGGAGCTGCAGGGAATCGCACGGATGCCTAGGTCTTTCCACTGTCATGGAAGATGATGATATTAGTGAAGGTCAGTGCAAGTAGGTACCTACAGGGTGATGTTTTGGAATTATTTCCAGGGCATTTCGCGAATTCCGGTGCGTGGTGGAAGGAGATTTGGGAATTGCCATCAGGGAATACGTCATTTCTTCTACATTTTACATATCGGAGGCGAGAAATATTCCGTCCCCTTATCCAAGGGAAGTTCAACACATTTCCGACTTGGAGGAGTAGGTAGTGATGGGTGTGATTCCGGGCAGATCCGATAAGCTTCAATTTTTTTTTCCCGGGCGTTTGTTGTGCGGGGTCGCGTGTAGCTACCCTATATCGACATCCTTTGATTATAGCTCTCCCGGCTTGATGGACGAGGCTATCGTCTCTCCTTTTCCAATCGCATTAATTTGCTTTTCGCATACTGTAGTAATCGGTCTGAACATTATTCACGAGTTGTCGGTGCTACTAGGCAAGGTTCTCCTTGCATGGGATCCCAGAGGTAGGCTGAGTATTTGAAAACGAACTACGATATTGACCGCCTCGTCTGAGGCCAGGCTGAGGGGCAAGAGGTCAGTG